CTAGAGTTGGTTAGACAATTTATTGAACTTCTGAAAATATCATCTTTGGAATGCAGTCTTGCATTTCTCATTCCTTTCATAGAGGTGGTCGTGGTGATTGCTCCTGGATGATTGAGTCATCACTATAGCAATACTTCTTCAAGTTGGAAAGCATGAGACACTGTTGTTCAGCTCTCCTCCTTCTCCATGCCATTTACCTCACTAGCCCTCTTGTTGCACTGTTTGTGAAATATGTCAACCCATGCTCCCTTCTCAAGCAGTTATTTTCGAAGCGCCACCTACCTAGGTGCCTTTGAAAGAAAATTGTACTTATCTGTGAGTGCTCCATATGCCAGTTAGAAGCCCTAATTCAGGTTGGTCTTATGTGGAAACTGAACTTCAGAAGCGCAGCTTTATCCAAACTATTCCCATTTGTGGAGCACTATGGTAGCTGTCTACACCAATACTGCAGGTAAGCAAACAGATTTGATGTTCTGTATAGCACAGATAGGTTGCTGCTCCAGTGTACAAGATAGTTGTTACCACAGAAGTTTAGAGGCTGGCCACAAACATTGATGACTACGTGGTGGCAGAGCTCTGGAGTGAGGGGAAGAAACCGACTGAAGGCATTACAGCAAGGTAAGTAGTATTTGCCTTAGTAGAAGGGTGGCTGGTAGTGCCCCTTTCTCTGTAGGTTACCTGCCATTTTTCATTATAAAACATTAGGAAGTTTGTAGCAGACCTTTGATACGCAGCAGGGATGAAGTGAGAAGGAAAAAGGGCAGAGGCAGGGTCACCTCCCCTCTGGAATAAGAGCCTTCTGCTGCTGCCACCTGAGGTACCCTAGAGCCCCAGTAGTAGTAGCAGTATGTATTCTGTTGCTGGGGGTTCTAAACTCTCCTACATGAGGGGGGTTGTCAAAAGTAAACATTAACTATTTTTTAAAATCTAGGAAATTACCTACAGAAAAACTGTCATAAAATGTAGTTTAGGTTTTAGAGTAACAGTTGCCTGTTTTGTTACTTTTATTTTGGTTCTCCAGAGTGGAGTGGAGGGCTGCTGCAATCACAAAGGAGTCTGGCGAGGGCTGCTTTGAGTAAATTATCAATGATTTTAAATTTACAAGTATCGGAGAGGTAGCCGTGTTAGTCTGTATCCACAAAAACAACAAGGAGGCCGGTGGCACCTTAAATTTATTTATTTGGACATAAGCTTTCGTTGGTAAAAAACCCACTTCTTCAGATGCATGGAGGTTTCATGACTGTACATCAGTCAACTCACCCTTCGTGCCCTTGTTAATTTCCTTGAAAATTGGTATGACCATGGAGGGCAAAGGATGGACTGGGGAAGTGGGGAGGAGATTATTAATGTGCAAGGCCAGAAGAGACCATTGTGTTCATCTAGTCAGACTTCCAGTATAACACAGGTCATAGAACTTCCTTAAATTAATTCATAGTCCAGATATTTTAGAGAAACAGCCAATATTGATTTTAAAACGGTCAGTGATGGAGAATCTACTATGACCCTTGATAGATTACCCACTGTTAAAAATGTACACCTTACTTCCAGGCTGCATTTGTCTATCTTCAACGTCCACCTATTAGAGTATGTTATACCTTTTGCTGCTGGGCTGAACAGCCCATTACTATATTTGTTCCCCATTCAGAGACTGTAATCAAGTCATCCCTAAGTCATATCTAGTTTACTTACAGTGAGTGAGTTCCTTAAGTCTGTTTTCTAACCCTTTAATCATTTGCTTGACCCTTTAAACCCTCTCCAATTATCAACATCCTTCTTGAATTGTTGACACCAGAATTGGACATAGTATTCCAGCAATGGTTGCACTGGTGCTAAATATAGAGGTAAAATAGCCTCTCTATTCCCCTGTTTATGTAGCCAGCATCATATTAGCTCTTTTGGCTACAGTGTTGCAGTGAGAGTTTATGGATACTCAGCTGATTATTCATCACCAACCCCAGATCATTTTCAGAGTCTGTTTCCTAGGACTATTTCCCATCATGTAAGTATGTGCTTTGGTCCTAGATGTATACACTTATATGCAGTTGTATTGAAACAATTAGTGTTTGTGGCTAGGCCCCTGCCCTGTGGTTGCCGTTTGGTCAAGTGGCTGCAAAACACAACTTGCCTCAGGAGAGAGGCTATGCTGGAAGGCAAAGACAGCACTCTACAGGCACAAAATAGAGAAGCTGGGCTATGGGTATTAGTCTCTCCTTTCCTCAGGGCATTCTGAGAATTGCAGCTGCAGGGAACCTCCCAGCTCCCAGTCCCTTCCCCTGGCAGTGTCTTCCAGTTGCAAGCTGTGCTCTGTCAGCTCCAGCAGCCTCCGGGGAGGAAAAGGAAATTCTGTGCAAAAAAAAAAAAATTAATTTCTGCCCAAATTTTGCATGTGCAGTAGCACGACTAAGGCAAGGAGTACTTCCCTCATTATCAGGATACATCAGCTCAAGATTGTATTTCCATAGTGGGGCCAGTATCCACTGGCAATGTAATAGTAGCTTACTCATCTCTAACACCTAATTGTCAGTCTCCTCTCCACGCTTTGAGATGGACCGGGGGGGGGGGGGGGGGGGGGCGAGAGGTGAAGTCACTCTCCCAAGGAGGCAGCAGCTCTCTGCCCGAGGCAGGATTAGAAATCAGGACTCCTGCCTGAGCCCAGTGTTCCATTAACTGAACCCTAGCCTATCCCTTTGATAAATACTGCATTTACATAGGAAAAAGAATACTCCCATACACACTAACGATTAAAATAATTCTAAAGCATTGCTGTTACGCTGAATGTGTCCATTAGCCTCAGTCTACCACAGACTGTGGCAGCCCAATGGAAGCTTTAGTTTTTCACAGTAATGAAATGCAGGTGTTTTGAAAAGATGAATGATTTTGGAATTTTTAAAAACCATTATAGTTTTCAGAGATCCAGCATACAAACCTACCACAGTTATGCAGATTCTGGGGGCCTGATCTGAAAAGCTGCCCTCTTCACCCAGTTTCTGTATAGAACCCTATTTTGTATATGCTGTGTTAAGTGGTTTCTGTACAAATTTCCAGTCTTACATCTTCCATTAATGGATATTTCTGTATTTTTTAAAAAAAAGTGGAGAGACCTAGCTTTGTGCTAGTATCCCTGTTTGCTGATAGAAAGCTGCCAGTTTCTCTCTCTCTCCTAATGGAAAAATTGCAGCCAACTCTAGTCCTGAGAACGGCGTAAAGGCCAGAGCAATCACCCAAAAGCCTCATTCTGAGGGCAAGGTGAGGTAGGTGAAACGTGCCTTTGTGTGTCAGTCTCAGTGATGGGGGTATTTGTTCCTCTAAGAAGGGCTGTTGTATTTGATTAGTATGTACATACTGTAAGCCACATTGCCATGGCAAAAACCATAGTCCACTCATGAAGGAAAAACACCCTCACCATTAGTCCAGCTGTAACGCAGGTATGACACCACCATCCCAACTTGTCCAACACCAGTTAATCCAAGAGGGGACTAGGACCCATGTATTTTAGTGGCCATCTTGTGGCATAGGCCTAATACTGAGAATAGTAAAGAGGCTTCATCTTGCTTCAGGGGTTAAGGAGAAATCTATTTATTGAATCACAGGAAAGACCATACACCCAGCAGTTTTTCCAAATGCATCCTGTAGAAAGCATGTAGCTTGTATGCTCTTCAACAGTGATTATTTATGCCTCCTCTTTCCAGCAATGGCATTAAGAAGCAATCACCATAAGGCAGCTCAGCTGCAACTGCTGAAAGGTTCCTTTTTCTCTCCCACAAGAACCAACTTTGAGTGTCTTCATTCATTTCATTTGCTAAAAAATGGAAAGATACAAAAGGATAAAAACGCAGAGTCAAACAAAGAAAGGGGGCATATGGACCAGAAGCGGGTTCTGCTCTCAGATACATTTTTGTGTGTCCAAAAATCCTGCCCTGTATCTGCACGACCCATATGCTATTCTGAGATTGTTCTAAGATTAGAATCTGATGCAGAGGATGGATATTTTCAGCCCATATCTCTTTCAAATAACATTGAGCTGGCTTTTAAAATTACTCTTGACATACAGCTGCCTACAGTGCACCACCACTACAAAGCAGATTTGGAAGGCACAATGTAGACATTGCCACCTGAAAACTTGACTCTTGGGATTAAATGTCATTGTGTGCTTACAATCTCGGTTCTTATATGGCCCCCTATCCGTACTATCAGAGAGTGAGGGGCAATGCATTCATTAGGCCAGATTCTGCAGCCATGAGTAACTTTATAAACAGAAGTAATCCCATTGCATACTTGATTATTCCTACTAACATCAAAGTTACACATACATAAGCATTGGCATCCTCCCTGCTGAAACTAAAGGCTGTGGCCCTAATCCGAGTAATTTTGCATAGTTGATTATTCCAATTAACCTCCATTGGACTAATCCTTTGTGAAAAGTATAACTGGTAGCAGAATCAGGGCCATAGATCTTGTCTGCAAAGAGGATGTCTATTGAAACGTCAGCTGTGATATTAGCTCACAAGAATGCAGTCCAGTATCAAGGAAGAGAGCCCACCTCATTAAACAGTCATTTAAACTCCCCTTTATCTAGGTCATCTTTAGATAAGGTCAAGTCAATTATAGATAGATCAAAGCTTTTCTCTTACATGTAATGCAATTTATTGGAGTGTTTTTGGTTGATTATTGCAATACCAACCATTTGAGGGTTTAAAGAGTATGCTAGCCTGCACAGGGCTGCCTTTTACCACAGAGGTAAAACAAACAACCTTAAGTCCTTGTCTGAAACTGGATTTTTTGGAAGGGTGGTGGTATTCTGCCAAGAGAAAAACCCCTTCAGTTGGCAAGAGCTCTGGCAGCCTAGCTATGCCAGTATAGCTATAAGGGCAAAGCATTTGTAGTAGAGACAAGGGTTTAGTTAGAGCAGTCCAACCTGTATGTGTAAAGACACTTATTTTGGTTTGCATGCTTTATATGGAGCTGGGAGATGATGATTTTAGGAGCCTCTAAACTGATTGTTAAATCAATATCATTTTCTCATGTGGACAAAGCTGTAGCTGTGTCAGAAATGAGCTATTACACACCTGGAGCGCCCTTCCTTTGGTCTCTATGGGCAGAGTGAAGGCAGAGATGGCACACACCACACACATGCCTGAGAAAAGGCACAGGGCCCCGAGGAACGAAGCACTCATGAGAACCTACAAACAAACAATTCAAGCATCAGCTCGATGCTGCAATACAAGATTAGTGTCAGGGGGCATGTTAGGAATCAAGACCTGAAATGGACAAGAGACTAAAGGATTTAATAGCCAAGAAAAGAAGCTGTTCTAACAGCTTCCAAAAAGTGTAACATGCTAACCAGTTACATTCTGTACAGAGAGCTTTACACAGGTCAGGAGCAGCTTGGCCACCCAGGAACATGAGCCACAGGCTACCCAAGAATTCCCAAAAGCTACACAATACATTTTGCATATTCTTTTTTATGTAACCGATAAATATATACAGCTTTAAGGACAAATTATGATTTGCTATAAATGTCACAATCCACTCATAGCGAAACACACCACTAGAAAGTTTGACGAACGTGGTGCTGCATGAGGCTCAAATGTTGGGATAGTGAACAGTGCCTCAAGAAGCTGCCTTGTTACCATGACAATTTACCGAGCATAAGAGTCATTTTATCAGAATTGCTGTGGTAACCACTGCTTGGAGAGGCCACAGCTGGGGAATGATAGCAGTTGAGGCCAGGCTCAAGGAGAGGTGCAGGGGGCAGGGTTGGGGCCTGTGCCTCCACAGCCCCAGGGGAACTGTGCATGTATACCAACAGCTGTTGTCAACTCCCAGGCCCCCCCTCATGCTCCACCTCCCGTTGTGGCCTGAGTAGCAGCTCCAGCTCCCAAGTCCTGCTGCTGCTACTACATTATAAATAAGATAAGCTTTTAATAGCTATTAAATTATACATTGGGGGAATGTAACCATTTTGTGATTTGTGTCTCACCTGTCAAAGTCATGAGGCACCACTGATGTGGGTCTGTTGTTGGCAATGACCACATATTTAATCCTAGTTTCCACATCAATATCAAAGACCTAATGTCTTGGCAAAAACAAAGGTCAGTATGTACATGTGTGTGCACAGACCTATGCACTTCTGGGAGATCTGTGGGTGCATCTGAGGGCAACACTGGGCATAGAGTTTACCAAAAACCAGAACTGTGCCCACAAAAACAAAGGCCAGTGCTGAAAGCTCTTCCAAGGTAGCTGAAGAAATACCAGCCTAGGGCTTTTTTTTCTTTTTCCATTCCCCATCACTGACAACCACCACCTCATACCAGGATGATAACAGGAAAAGCATCTTACTTGTGCTATAAATGGTGCCACCATAGCTCCAATCCGACATAGTGAACCACTTGTCCCCATTCCCAGAGCTCGTATTGTGGTAGGGTAAACCTATAGCAAGACAAAGAGGGCTTAATTCAGTACCAGAAAGAACTATGACATGCCACTGGTTTATGGAGGCTCACTGCACAAGAAGGGACAGCTGTAGGGGGAGATTTTCAAAGGGCAGTAAGGCTCCCAACTCTCTCTCTCCCCTATTGAATCAGTTTAGGTTAGTCCAGTGGTTCTCAGCCCATGAGCCGCTTGCAGCCCAATCAGCACACAGCTGCAGCCCATGTGATATCCTCCGGGCCATACAATTAGTATTCAATGCAGCTCACAGTGGTAAATAGGTTGAGAACCACTGGGTTAGTCCAATTAAAGCTGGAGCGGACACTAAACTAATCCCTTAGCCTTAGAGGTGGTTGCTCAAGGTCAGGGTTGCAGAACAGTGATATTGGGGATGCTTCCATGGCCACGCTCCATATCTGGCAGAAAGGGAAAAGTAGTGTCCGGGGCTTTGAATCCTTCGGCAAGACCTAAATTCACTCATGTATTAGACAAAAAGCAACCTAAAAAGAACCTCCAAGACTCCAAGGATTACGCTTTTTGCCGCGCCTTGGCCCTATTTCAGCAAAGCACATAGGCATATGTTAAAGCATAACGTGGCGGGGGCTGTGTAGTTTATCGGTTAGAAATATGTTTGTTGAAGGACCAAGAGGGGTTTCCGTCTCACTAAGCCACTTCAAGAGAAGGATTCCCCAACTGCTTTCCTTCTGCGAGGGGAGCAGTCTCAAGAAGCATTTTCCAGGCATTGGATGGGCTTCATTGTCCCTTTTCGTTAAACGCGCTCAGGTTAGTGGTTTCTGACACATCCATATCCGATAATGGACTCCCACAATTCTAAACCACCAAAAGGTTAATATATTTATGCACTGCAGGTGCATTCTTATAAGCACAATTGTGATATACAGAATTATTAATGGTACAGAGATAGTAAAGCAGACTCCTAGATAATCATATAGTTACAGTAACTTTGCCACAGCCAAGTAACATGGGAAAATTTCTGAGAATAGGCAAATGTGCTTTTATTCATTTAATACACTCCATAAGTACAGCCATACCAGATCAGATCAATGGTTCATCTAGCCCAGTATCCTGTCTTCCATCAGTGGCCAATGCCAGGTGCTTCAGAGGAAATGAACAAAACAGGTGCCCATTCCCAGCTTCTGGCAAGAGCAGCTTAATGAGGAACTTTCAGAAGGACCTACCTCTGCTGTGTAAATGTAGATGGTGTTGAAGTTTGCTGCTACCAAGGCACGCAGCATGAAGAGAAAACCGATCAGACCCGTACTAGGGAGAACGGGGTGGAGAATATGGAACTAGCATCAGTGAACAGTTATTAAACACAGACAAAGCAAGAGGTTACTCACTGCACTAAGGAACTTCCCTCCAAAATAAGAATATAATAAAAGACACAAGTAAAATGTAATAGATGACAAATGTAACCTTTATCCATTCAATTGGCAAGGAAAGGTGGATGATTCACACTGAGGGACTTTCTTCTTGAGGAAATGCTTGAAAATGGACTGACCAAGCTTACAAGCCAAGGGAGAGAGGACATCTATATATTCATTATAGCACGTCAGGTTGCATCTGCTAGAGTTAAGACTGGTTCTAATTTGCAGTCCTATCCCTCTTTCTCAGTTCCTTATCAACCTTCACAAATTCTATGCTTGGTCTCAGCTCAAAGGTGAAGACTGAGCATAATTGTTTCAGGTGTTTGATTTATCGGACCACTGGAAAAGTACTTTACCCAAATACTCCAATCAGAATTTTGCATTCAAGTAACTATTGCATAGATTTGGCTAGAAACTTTGAATTTGGCTTGATTTCTAAATTTCCCTGCCATCCATGCAACAAGCCAAGTTTGAAGAAAATTATACTAGTCAGGGGCGCTGGAACAATTTGTATAGTGGGAGTGCTGAGAGCCATTGAACCAAACTGTAAACCGTATATATAATGGAAACCACTTCAAGCCAGGGGGTGTGGCACCACTAGTTCTAGCACCTGTGATACTAGTAGTTTTAAAGTCCCCATCTCAAACATGAACATAAAATTTCCCTATGCTGTTTTTCAGGCACCAGTAAAGCAGACCATTAGCTACTGTGCTTCATGGCAGTCCCTCACAGATGAAAGGTGAGTTTAAGGGAACCTTTAAGCTGAAGGGTCATTTCGGAGCCCTAGCTGCAGTCCTGGTCCACTTCAAAAAATTGACAAGCTCTGCCAGCTTCACGGGGGGGGAGCCTGTAAATCACTTAAACTCAGTCTTTATGTAGTGAATACAGTCAAACCTTGCTAATTCATCCTGATTAGGGGAGATACACACAAACCCCACGGTGGATTATTAGTCTAAGGCAGAGGTGGGGAAACTATGGCCTGTGGGCCACATCCGGCCCGCAGGACCGTCCTACCCGGCCCTTGAGCTCCTGGCCGGGGAGACTAGCCCCCAGCCCCTCCCCTTCTGCCCCCCCTCCCCCGCAGCCTCAGCTCACCGTGCTGCCAGCGCTCTGGGCAGCGGGGCTGCAAGCTCCTGCCAGGCAGCGCAGCTGCGAGAGCCACCGGCCTACCCCGGTGCTCTAGACTGCGTGGTGGCATGGTTGGCTCCAGCCGGGAGGCGTGGTTGCCAGTCCTGGTGCTCTGAGCGGCATGGTAAGGGGGTGGGGATCGGGGGGGGTTGGATAAGGGGCAGGGGATCCCAGGGGGCAATCAGGGGACAGGGGGTGGTGGGATGGGGCGGAGGTTCTGGGGGGGGGGCGCTAAGGGGATGGAAACGGGGGGCTGGATAGGTGTGGGCATCCTGGGGGGGCCTGTCAGGGTGAGGGGGTGGATATGGGGCAGGGCAGTCAGGGAACAGGGAGCAGGGGGGGTTGGATAGGGGGTAGGGACCTGGGGTGGGGGGGTCCCAGGCGAGGGCGGTCAGGGTACAAGGAGCAGGGGGGGTTGCATGGGTCAGGGATTCTGAGGGGGACAGTCGGGGGAGGGGGCGGATAGGGAGCGGGGGCCAGGCTGTTTGGGGAGGCACAGCCTTCCCTACCCAGCCCTCCATACAGTTTTGCAGCCCTGATGTGGCCCTCAAGCCAAAAATTTTGCCCACCGCTGGTGTAAGGGGATGTGTACTGGCCCATGCCAGCCAACTTGGGCTCATGGACTCAGGCTGGAGCCTGGGCTCTGGGACCCTCCTACCTCACAGGGTCCTACAGCCTGGACTCCAGCTCAAGCCTGGAAGTCTACACAACAATGAAACAGCCCCGCAGCCCAAGTCGGCTGGCTCGGGCCAGCCCCGGGTTTTTCCGTTCTCTGTAGAGACCTACCCAAATTTGTTAAGTAAGCAAACAAACAATGAAAAAAATTATGGGCTTTGTACCTCAAAATGTACTTTGTATACTTATCTTGATGTGTGTTTTAGCTGTAATTATTTATAGCACTTCATAGCATGCTAGTAAATGTCCTGTCATATATTTTGTGAAATCCCCGTAGTCTCAGCAATATAAGACCTCATTACAGCTTCTGCTATTACATTTTTTGCTGGGAAGTGACAGGAAACTGCAGGAGAGTATTTTTTTGAGAGAGAGAATTATCAGGACTGCTGATTAGCAAATTGAGAATTTAAGAGGTCCTGCCATCTGCCAATGGTATTACAAACCACCACAACAGTACTAGCATACTAATCTAATACGCTACCTTGTAGTGCAGATATTAAGGAAGAGAAAAAATAGTGCAGTGCATCCCATTGTTATAGACAGGCTCAGTCGTCTTCCTAGGAAATTGATGCCTAGAATGTTTAAGGGATTTACTGGAAAACAAAACAAAACAAATGTCAGACTTCAGGGTTAGATTATCTAATGATGTCTAAGCCCATATTTAGCTGTCATCATTTCCTGACACTATAAACCAGGAATTCCATCCCACCTTCCCAGTAGAAAAGATTTCACCCTCCAGTACCCAAACACCATGCTCTTCCTCTTGCTTATTTTTCCTTTTTTATTTTTTATGTCTGGAGTTTCTGAACTGGCCTCACTTGAGACACTTCAGTTCCCTCTATAGACTCTCACTACTATTGTGTCACGACTACAGTGGTGTCACACTAGCATTATGGACTTGATCACTTCTTAGTAATAGCAAGATGCTGGGAGGAAGGGTGGGGTCGTGTGGTTAAGCACTGCATTTGAACTCTAAACACCTGGGTTCTATCCCCAACTCTCCCACAGACTTCCTGTATGAGTCAGGGCTCCAAGATGCTAAGCAATGTGGCCCCAGTCCAGCAAAACACTGAAGCACATGGTTCACTTCTAGCCTAAGTATGTGTTTATGCCCTTTGTTGGACTGAGGTCAGAGAGTTTGGCACCTTACAGGATCAACTTTTAATCGCTTTTTATCTCATTGCCCTAGATGTAAAGGGGGATAAAGCTTACCTCACGGGAGTGCCATGAAGCTAAATCCAGTAATGTTTGCCAAGTACTTAGAGCACCTTAGATGGAAGGTGCTATAGAAACATGCTATCACATGACACTGTTACTACCTAATACTGAAGCAGAGGAGATATACCAAGAAACATGTTGGTTTGTGTTACTATGGATGCATTGTGTACTTTCTGCTGTATTCCATTCTAACCTACTTTGAGCAGGTCTCTGCTGCACAGTACAGGGTGCTGGTAAATACCCTTTCTAAACTAAAGCACACCTTTGCTGCATTCAGTTGCCTACATATCAGTGATTGACTGCAATTCTTGCTAGCATATGGGTTTCCGGAAGTCACTGTTCTAGTCTGAAAATTTGCCTTCAAGCCGATCCTGGCTCTCTGGTAACTTAGAACCTGATCTTCAAAGGTGATTAGGTGTCTAGCCTCCATTGATTTCAGTGCAAGATAGGCACCTAGGTATCTTTGAGCAGGGCCGCCCAGAGCGGGGGGCAAGTGGGGCAATTTGCCCCAGGCCCCGGGCCCTGCAGGGGTCCCCCAAGAATATAGTATTCTATAATATTGCAACTTTTTTTTTATGGAAGGGGCCCCCAAAATTGCTTTGCCCCAGGCCCCCTGAATCCTCTTTGAGGATCTGGACTTTACTGTTCAGGTAGTTTCCTATGGTCATTTTAAAAAAGAAAGTCATTATGTATCCTCTGCATAGGGGCTATTTGGCTTTGCCAGTTAAATTTTCACAACTGTCCTTAAAGATGAATTAGTCATGTAGGGTGAAATTCTTCCCTGTGATGCCAGCACAAAGCATATGCAGCTACAGCAGAACCTCAGAGTTATGCGCACCAGTTACGAACTGACCGGTCAACCATACACCTCATTTGGAACCGGAAGTATGCAATCAGGCAGCAGAGACCCTCCCTCCCACCCCCCAAAAAGCAAATACAGTACAGTACCGTATTAAATGTAAACTACTAAAAAGAATAACTTGACAAGGTAAGGAAACTTTCTGGGTTTGTTTCATTTAAATTAAGATGATTAAAAGCAGCATTTTCCTTCTGCATAGTAAACTTTCAAAGCTGTATTAAGTCAATGTTCAGTTATAAGCTTTTGAAAGAACAACCACAACGTTTTGTTCAGAGTTACGAAAAACCTCCATTCCCAGGGTATTCGTAACTCTAGGTTCTACTGAAAATCCCACTGAAGTAGTGCATTTCCCTTGGCTGGCTCTGTGCACAGGGTGAATTTCACCCAAACCCTATATTTTGTTTTGTGCACATGCATGTAAATCTGCCGAGTTAAACACATTGCATAACACATTAAATAGCCACAGAAAGACAACTTGGAGGATGTTTCTGTTACATGCAATCTCTCCAATTGTGCTGATGATCATGATCCGGTAATCCGAAGGGGCAAACAAGCGACAGTGACATGGGCTGCGGCTTTCCTCTGAATCATCCCCCAACTCCTTCGCTGCTGTCTGCAAACTACAGACCATGTCCCGCTCCAGTAACTCAGCACTGGCCAGGATGACGCCATAATAAGCAAAAGATATTCCAAGCCTGGGGGAAAGAAAACCAATGTTGACAAGCAGAAAATAATCCAGACTCATGGAATCATAGAGGAGTAAAACTCAGCAGATATTAAATGCCTAAGGACAATTACAAAGTAAAACAGGTAAACAACACTTAACATTTGGAAATCTTAAGTCCAGGGAAACCCCAGCAGTTATTTGTGCAACCAGCAGCAAACTGGTTGTCACAAACGTATTACACAATTGCAGCTACCATATAAGTGTTCCTCTTTATTAAAAGAAAAAGCCCAGTTCTTACCTGGACTGTTATACTATTATTATTTATTTGTAACATGGTAGCACCTAGAAGTCCCTGTCATGAACCAGGACCCCATTGTGCTAGGTGCTGTACAAACAGGGATGAAAAGACAGTCCCTGTCCAAAGGAGCTTACAGTCCAAATAACGCTGATCTCTGTGTGTGTCAGTTTTCCCACCCGTAAAATGAGTATAAATCTATCTCACAGGGGGTGAAATTCACCTAGGTACAGAAAGCCAGCATAAGGTCAATGTTTCACTTACACCCTGTTTTGATGACTTAAGGAGTAGCACTTAAGAAGTACATAGGCTGTTGTTCATACTTTCTGCATAGGGGTGAAATTACCACCACTGACTATGCGCTTATTCCATGTTAAGGCCACAGAATAGCATACTGCTCAGCTTGAGGAAGTATGGCAGCATTGGGCCCATAGTGTTCTTAAAATGCTTTGAGGCAGGGCTCTATAGACTGTAGTTTACAAGCTTTCATTTAAAATATAAAGCCAAGCCCCTGATCCCTTGTGGCCATTAAAATTCCCATGATACTTTTCATATGAACAGGAGGGTTAACCCTGAAGCCCTGGCCAAAGGCCAGTCTGTATAATGACATTGTCTTTAACTGAAACGGCAGGGAAAGAGAATTTTTCTCCACTTGTATGGTGAAGTATTGCGGTGCACTGCTAAACAGCCACTGTGTTCTATACCAGAGGTGGGTGCATGGTGGGTGGAAATTATCACTTAGTGTTTCTTACCTACCTTATAATATTTGCCAAATGTTTGAGACTCATTGATGAAAGGAGCCATGGTATTATTTACAGACTGGGGCAGTGGGCCCTAAAAATGTGTAGCAATACATGTTTGTGCAGGGACATTTTTGAAACATTCACTCCTGGGGGAATCTGTCCATTCAATATTTAAAACAAATCCCTGATGCTTCTTTTACCAAAACGTAGGACCATCAGAGCTTCATTCTCCATTCTGTGCAGTGACTTTTAAAATCAATTTTAGGCACCGTCTGATTGGGGAAGCTCATATAGTGTCATGCTTCTCTGTCAAGAGCAGAGTATTAATGATGGCAGCCTTGTTGCAACATCATCAACTAATTCAGCATGTCCCTCATCATGAACAGGCTGAGAAGTGATTTTCACTCTCCCACCCCCCGGCAGTTGAAGAAACGAGCCTCAGAATTACAAGCTATCAAAAGACCTGCGTACTGAATGCAGGGAGAACGCTAAGTACACAGAGGACGGGAAAGTAAACCTATGGAGCCTATAAGCTGATTTATACGTGTGGAAAACTGTAGAAAAACTGTATTTTACAAAAATAGAAAAATCATAAAAGATTCAGGGACCGATATACAAAGATTCTGGGTCACTGAGCTTTCACACACCCATTATCTGCACATTACAATTCTAGCTTGCAGTGGTGTCATAGCTGCGTTGGTCCCAGGATCTGAGAGAGACAAGGTGGATGAGGTACTATCTTTTTTTGGACCAACTCCTGTTGATTTGAACTACACAGAAGTTGGGCCAATAAAAGATATGACCTCACCCACCTTGTCGTCTTATAATTCTAGACAATGGTGCCATTAAAATATATATTGATCTACATGAGGCCTACTTATGAGACTTCAGATGATATTCATCTTCTGTTCACTTTTAATTTTCCAAAGCCAATGGAATCAATAAGAGCTAACAACATTCGGTCTGAACCTATTTCACTGGTACTCTGGCTGTGCTACCGAGGCAGCTGGCGGAGCACCAGTTCTCGTTTTGGGAAAGCCATGGGTGAGAGAGCAATCTAAAAACCAATTCAAATGTTCCCTCCTGTTCCAGCTACACTGGGTGTCTCTGCAGGTCACTCAGAGTCTGATCCAACTCGCTTTCGAGTCAATGGGAGACTTTTAATCAGGGTCCTACCCCCATTCAAATGAAAGAATTATGCTATAAACAATAACCAAAAGCAAATAACATTTACCATATGATCCAGATTTGCAAAGTGGTTCGTAAGTATTTGGAGTCCAATAGGTCACTGAATCTACCTCGTCTTTCCTGCAAATTATTTAATAGAAAACACAAGGTTAGAAAAGTATCTTCTCTCTATGGACTAATTTTCTGGTGCTGCCATGTATTTCTACACACTAATATGTTTGCTGAGCCGAAAGGCAGACATGTAAGACTGCAGCTGCACACAGATGAACTTGGAGATTAAAGAGCACCAAAAGGGAAAGGCTGTGGAGAGAATGTGTGGGGAAGTTGCCATGATCCTGTAAGTCCATGTGCAGCCCCACTGACTTCCATAGGGCTCTGCATGTTCCCAGGCTCTACTTGCCTGGAAAAACTTGCTGGATCATGGCCTAAGCTGGGAAAGGTGTTGGTTACTTATTTGTTTCTGGTTTGAGTACTGTGGTCTGAACTGACCGCAGTTACCACTTGTGTTGTTCCATTTTATGTAACAAGACATAAATGCAGTAATGAGAAACAGAGTCAGAAATTAGAGGCTGTACGCTTGCTTTTGTATTATTCACCTAACCAGTTGTCAAACATTGGTCTAGCAGATATGAAAGTGAAGATATGTAGTAACAGCTAGAGGATTGGTACGTCTAAGGCAAGATTCTCGCTGCCCTGAATGTGAAGAGAGTCATTAATCATCACTTGTCCGGGGGGAGGGGGAAAGAGTTCACATGAATGTTTCGAGTTGATTTTTTTCCTCTTTGTTTAACATGGCAGTGTGCATAACTTTAAACTTTAACAAAAACATCCCAGAGCCAGTGAGATCTCTTTACAGAAATTCTACAAAGCATATAGGGAAGGCCTTTCTCATTTAATCCTAACTAATGCCAATTCAATAGTACCACATTACATGAGTTGCTAAGGCCAATGCTAAGTGCTTGTGGGATTAGATAAGCAGCAAAGAGGTCTAGAAGAGGGACCTCTCCGAGCTGGGTGATGCTGTTGAAGATTCCCTTGGTTCAGGTCTAAGTTCCTTAGATCTGACTGCGGCCTCTTCAGCCACTCCCACCATGATGTTCCCTTTCTGTTGATATGCAGGGTCTGAGCCATATGTAACCAATAATGACTGCTCCAGTGCTCCAGCACCTCCAAGTGCTCCAGCTCCATTCCCCCACATCTGCCACTGCCAGGGTGTTGCCTGTCAGGACTAGTACATGCTTGTCTTGCAGTTCTGTCTGGAAGGGAAGGCGCATAAGCCCAGTTTCCCACAGATCATGCAGTTTATGATTCTTTTTCACTATTGGTCTGTCTGTTCTCCCTGAGTCACTTGGCTGTTTCTATGTCCCCCCCCCCATCCCCCATTGGAGGGGTTTGACTGCATACCTGGGGCAGCAAGCCATGCTCTGACCAGCCCTGGCACAGGGAGGGGGAGGAGGAATCTTTGTAGCTCTTCATCTGGAAACGTGCCACCTGAAGAATTTCCACACTTGATACTAGCATGCCCTGGAGCTGCATGAGGAATCTTACTGATACCAGGGTGCAGTTGTCAATCATTGAGTCAGGCCAACAACCTGCAATTGTCTCATGTCAGAGATGAAAGCCTTCTCTTTGGCTGGGCTAGCATCACTCCGAGGTGCTGTGGTCTCTGACTCAAAACCAGGTGATTCTTCTCCATGTTCACCAACAAGCTATGCTCTTGCAGGCAGGTGATGGTTGTTTCTGTGTCCTGTAGGGTCATTTCCCTCAAAAAGGAGTTTGGATGAACAGATCTTCCAGGAAGGGAGAGACATGAATTTCCTGCACCCAGAGAGTTGCTGCGAAATCTCTCAGCAACTCAGAAAAGACTGCTAAGGGATCTCACCAGGCCAAAGGGGGTGCTCTTTACTCAAACCCTTTTTTATGGTAGCAAAAGCAAACATTTTCCCAGCATTATGTTCATTTGAATGAGAAGAATAATAAAATAAACAAGCCCATTAAAATGAAAGGGCTAAGATTAATCTTTTTTCAATAGACAAATGACAGCTTCTATCGTGGCATTCAATATTCCTTTGGAATGATGCCAGATATAGTAGAAAAGCTTAGAACATGAAAAGCTTAAGCAAGATAGCCCCATCTCCTAGAATCCCAGTAATCCTGTGTCCTGTGCCCCAGGACCTATCCAATCAACCATTAGCATGATGAGAGAAGATATTTTAACTCTCACATTAACAGGCTCCACCAAGATCCCTTCTGGCATTACTGAGCGGTTCATCTTGGCAATCCTCTCCAGTGTTGCAACGGCGGCTTTGTTATTTCCAGTAGATACATTGTACCGAGCAGACTCTGGAATGAACTGCAAATACAGGTTGGTTAGGAAGAGCTTTTACAGCTTTAGGCAGCAAGACAGAGCTTTACTTAAGTGTCAGGACAATACACAGACCCAATAGTTATTGGATTTCCCTCTTCTTTTTGCTGTTTCCCATTTGCATGGTTCAGTTTTCCAATTCACTGAGAATGCACATTTGTAAATATTAAGCCAGACCCTCAGCTGGTGTAAATTGGTGTAACTCCATTGACTTCAGTGGAGCTATGTTGATTTACCCAACCTGAGGATCTGGTCCAGTATATAAACAGTGCTAGGTAAGTGTTCTGAATAACAGCAATTCCTTGCACGTATTCAGTGGGTTCTCAGAGAACTAACATAACTATTGATCTCTGTTATACAGCATCCTGGGACAGCCAATCAATAAAAAGAAAATGTCTTTTTTAAAACTGGGGGGAAACCAAACAAAACAGTGAAATAAAAATAATAATTAAACAAAACCTAACTTGAAACTGACATTGTAAGTTGAGACTAACAACATACCACTCCCTCTTAATAAAAGTTTCCCAGACTTCAAACAGATTTGGGGTTCATTTCAAGGGATGGACAGAATTGGAGGGCATTAGTTTAACCGAACTGTTTCGCTCATCCCTCGTACTGATCACAAAATAAGTAGAACTGGGTGACCATTACAGAAAGAAGTGCTTGAATTTTTAGAGGCATTTGCTTGGCCAGGCTTGTGCCTCTTGTTTTGTTATTTCCATTAACAAATCATGCAGCACAGTTTTACTAGCAGAGATGTTCAGAGAAGTCAAATTTCAAGATATGGGTATTTAGAGAGCCTAGTTTATATTTGCAAACCTAAGTATTTATCTCAGGCCATGTCTACACTGCAATCGAAGTTGTGATTGCAGCTTGGCTAGGCATAATATAGGCCTAAATATAGCAGTGAAGATGTAGGACCACAGGCTTCAGCATGGATTTGGAAAGTGAATCCATATTCCAGGGGACCAGGCAGTTTGGTACAGCATGCCTTCACTGCTATTTTTAGCTGTGCTAAATAAATTAAAACTAGAGCGATGTCGTCTACCCAAGCTGCAAATCACATTTTTGTCCTCAGACATGCTCGGGCACTCATCCAATCAGGGAATGGATTTTAACGTCTATGTGATTTATCTGACCAATCACAGCTAATCAACATAGCTCAAATAGCGATATTCACAGAGAATTGTTCACATCAGTCCAGAGAGAGAAAATATGCTCTGCCCTGAATAAATATGACGATACTGCAACCTGTTAAAAGGTTAACTTCGTTGGGTACATTGTTTGTTGTGAATTATTCACTTAGTTCTACAAAATGTAAAGAGTTACGAGGCTGGGGTATATACAGGGATGAGAGCAACAAAATCCTAAATTTGCCAGTGTATGAATTGCAAGCTTCTATGTAATCTAATCTCATCCGTGTTTGCATGCCCTTCCCTCCCCCACCACCACAATGTCAGAACACAGTGTGTGGATGCAGAACACCGGTGCCCTAGTCTTGGGATGCTGCTATGAAGGAGCAGCCAATCTGCAGAAAGAGGCTGTCTCCTGCAGGTCCCTGCTTGCTGGTGGCTGGTTTGGGCTCTTCAAAGTTGGCATAAGAGGGCTGCTGTGGGTTATGGCAGTGATGAGCTGCCAAAATCTTAACAACCGGTTCCCTCCTCACCCCACGAGGGGGTTGTGGCCCGCCCCCGCTCCCCGGGACTCCTGCCCAATCCAATCCCCCGCATTCCTTGATGCCCCCCTGGACTCCTGCCCCATCCACCCCCTGCATTCCTTGATGCCCCCCCAGGACCCCTGCCCCATCCACCCCCCTTCCCTGTCCCGACTGCCCCCCGCCACCCCCATCCAACCCCTCCTCTCATTCCTGATGGCCCCCCAGGACCCCTGCCCAATCCAATCCCCCTGTTCCCTGCCCTCTGACCGCCCTGACCCCATCCACCCCACCACCACCCCCAAACTCCCCTGCCCTCTATCCAACACCCCCTCCCTGCTCCCTGCCCCCTTACCGCGCTGCCTGGAGGTAGCTGGTGGCGCTACAGCTGCGCCGCTCAGCTGGAGCCAGGCCACGCCGCCGCCGCGCAGCGCCTGGAGCATCGGATCAGGCTGAGCTCGCAGCCCACCGCCCAGAGCATGCGCCGGCAGCCGGGCGAGCTGAAGCTGCGGGGGATGGGGAAACAGCCGGGGACTAGCCTCCACAGCTGGGAGCTCAGGGGCCGCAGTAGTGGGTGCCCACCCCGCCCCGCCCCTAAGAGCAAGAGGGACCTGCCGGGGGGGTGAGGTGGGGAGTCCCGGTGGTGCTTACCTGGGGCGGCTCCTGGGAAGCATCCGGCAGGTCCCTCTGGCTCCTAGGGGCGGGGTAGCGTAGCTATAGGGGGGGAGCAGGGGGTTACCTGCCGCGGCGTGGGCGGCCCCCCTCCCCGCCCCAGCTCACCTCTGCTCCGTCTCCACCTCTCTGGGCCTGAGCACGAAGCCACCACTTGCTTCTCAGCCCTCCCAGGCTTCCCGCACGAACAGCTGATTCGTGGGAAGCGGGAGGGTGGGGAGTAGAAGCGGGGCAGAGCGTTCAGGGGAGGAGGAGGAGGCGGAGGCGGAGCGGAGGTGAGCTGGGGCTGGGGAGCTGCCGGAGCTCACGGAGTCGTCGCCTAAGGCGCCACTTTAAATTTAAAAGCCCTTTTAGAACCGGTTGGACAACCGGTTCTAAAAGGGCTTCTAAATTTAACAACCGGTTCCCACGAACCAGTGTGAACCGGCTCCAGCTTACCACTGGGTTATGGTGAAAACAGGACCACAGGGGCAGGCTACCAGGTTCTGATGCCTATATCGGCTGATGGCAAAATATACCTAGAGATTCCAGATCTAGTGTGTTCTTTTGGGTGGGAGGAAGTGTTGTTCTCACCTTAAATGCCAGGATGAGAATGATGCCTGGAATAGAGGCGATTCTGATCAGCCAGCGCCAGCCTATGGTCGGGTTAATCACTGATGCCAATCCAATAATTAATAAGGAGCCTGCCAACCAAAAAACCTTTCAAATGGAAAGTGAGAGGTTACAATAAAGGAGCCAATGGCTATGGGTTGTATATTTTAACCCCCAGTGGTCTCATTCTTGTCTGAGCAACCTTCCCTATCCACACCATTAAAATACAGTAGAGATTTGACCCAGACACAGTCAGGGGAGTTGAATTTTTGGAGAGAGGTGGGCCAAAGTTTTGGTGTGACTGGGCCCAGGATGGTTTCAGTTAGTTGTGGCTAAACACAGAAAACCATGTGTGGTTATCATTCCAAATGAAATCTGCTTCCCTGGTATTCATGAGCTTTTTATTTGCTTCATTATTCATATGAATGAGCTTTTTTTTTTCTTATAAGAATGTTTGTGGAAGGCAATAGTGCTATGAACACTAGTGCAAAAAGTGAGCCATACTTTCCACTGATTTTACACCAGAGGAGAATCTGGCCCAATACCTGCAAACATGTGTGTCCTTGAAGTTCTCTTGTAGCCATTAGGAAAAATGCTTTTTTATTTACACAAATAAGGTAAGCAACAACAAACAGCAAACAAATTAATAAAAGCCACAACCTGTCCCTGAGAAATCTGGGAGCAAGGGAAAATAAAGAATAAATAATAATCAATGGATTTCCCTTGTTTATAAATCTTAGGCGAGAACAGAAACAATGACTTAAGTGATCAAGCCAATGGCTCAAACAGAGAATAATGAAAAGCAAATACTTGTTGCTACAAGGCCATGAATAAGCCAGAGGCCAATATATGTTTGCACAACTCTTGGTTGACGGGCGCCGGAACCGGGGAAAAGGGAGGGTCAGGGCCCTTTCACTTTTTGAAAGTGGACGGGCCTGGCCAGTCCACTTTTTGCCAGGGTGGACCGTACCCGCATCCCCTCCTCTTCCCCCAAGGCCCCATCCCCTGTCCAGGCCAGCATGGAGCCCAGCCGGGGAGGGGAGCCTGGGCAGTTGTGGGAGACACGCGGGTGGACCCTCCACCTGCCCATGGTGTGAGGGGGGCTGAGAGCAGCCCCTGGCCCATGTCCTCGCCCCCCAGGCTCCCCGCCCGGCCCATGACAGGTGGAAGTGGAGGATCTGTGACTCCATGCCGGCTCCCCATGCAGCTCTCCCTGACCCAGCTCCAGCCAGGGGGGCTCGGAGTCCCAGCCCAGTGCGGGCAGGAGGGCCTGATGGGTGGGGACACAGCCGGGGTCTGCTCTCGGCGCCCCATCAGCCCACTGGGCAGGTGGAGGGACCCAGGTTCTCCACTGCTGCTCACACGGTTCTTATCATGGCTGGGCTGCAACTCCAAGGCCCCACCCCCTGGCCGGAGCCAGGTCAGGAAGAGCCCACACAGGCAGCTGTGGGGAGCCTGGATCCCTCCAGCTGCCCTGGGCAGGAGGCCTGGGGGACGGGAACATGGGCAGGGGGGCACGGGTTCCACGGCCCCGCTCCAGCTTCTGGTGGGGTAGGGGGTGGGGCTTCCAGGGGGAGAGGAGGGGAAGTGGGTGGGCCTCAGGGGCCCTGGGCCCCTCACTTTTGGAAAGGCTCCGGCGCTCCTGCTGGTTGAGCAATTGGAGAAATTCCTGTGTATCAGGAGCTCTTTGCAGATAATTCCAGAAACCCATGGAAAAAGTGCTAAATTAATTGGACAAATCCTTCACAAGAAATAATTCAAGCAGCTCCAGATTTAATCAGCCCTTGCTAGGCAGTACAACCTGTCCCAGTGCACCTCAGTCCTAACTCGCAACAATCTATGCTGCTCCATTCCTGGCCACCCACACAGTTCCGTTAATGGAGAGAAGACCTGACCTACGGCACCTTTAGCTTGTCCAGCTCCGAGCCTCTCCTGAACAGAAACGGCCTATTATGCCACACTATATGATGAGTTTTTGATGTGCATAAATTGGGGACTCACATGGGACCACTTAATGAATCTCTTATTATGACCCAAATCAGATTTGGAATTCATCTCCAAAGGTATACGGCGCATGTGCTGATTCGTTTGTCCTGGGCCAGCCCCAGTTTGAGTACTGAAAATTGCTTCCAGATAGACAGAGTCCAGTCTACCGGCGTGGAGCACATTTCTGTTTCAATTTTTAGCTGCTGTATGTGCTATTATCTTGAAACGAGATCGAGCGACTGACCCAGCTCCTGACTGACAGCCTGTCAAGGGTGATACTGTTAGAACAGGCAACGGACGCATTTATCAACATGGCAACCAAAAGGCTGGATGTCAGCTGTCAATCAATGTCTCAATGCCATGTACAGAGCAGCCAATTATCAGAAAAGAAATTGCTTTTCCTCTGCACACCTGTGCACATGTTTAATAATGCAGTGTTCACTGCGACACACGCTGAGAATGAGATACCCTCACTGCGTATAATACATATTCGGATATTGTGGAACACATTAAAACTGGCTAGAATTCTGCTTTCTGAGCCAGACACAGGAAATCTGGGACTCTGGGCTGTAATGAATTTTATCTTACCTGAGATAAGGGCAACATATACCCTCGGTATTTTGTAGGCAAGAATTCGGTTTTTATGATAAGTCTGAAAAAAAAAATGCAAAGAGAGTGAGAATCTGCATGCAGCTGAAATGCCAGCTCAGTCAATTTTAGACTCCACTGTCAGTCAGTAGAATTATAGTAGCTCTTTCACTGCTAGCAACTGAAAATTGGGTGCCGAACAAATAAATGTGCATAGCATTTGTGAGCATGACTCATTGCATACCATCGAGCCAGATCCTCAGCTGAAGTAAATGGGTGTAACTCAACTGACTTCACTGGAACCGTGTCCATTTACAGCTGACGAGGGTTTGACCCTAAGCTTGTAATTCAGTGAAGAGTCTCTGGTCCTTTGACAGAGCGTGTCCCCTCCTCCATGTCAGAGATCCTGTAATGTTACTGCTCCTGCAGCAAAGATTGCTGCCAAATATCAACCTAGTTTAACACGACATGCTGCACAAATATCTGCCCACAGGGACAAGGAGGCTATGTAATATCAATCCAGTAGTACACTTGAGGACATAATCTCAGGATACAAGTATCTGAGTGCTGGCACTTTGCATCATGCACACCTCTAAGGGAAGGATCTGTGGAGCTGTTTGAACTCCATGTTTAAATGCTATGCACTCTGTGTGATGTGAAGTTAAAGAAAGGCTGGTTTTGGTTAGGTATCCCAAGGGGCTTCTCTCTTCCCCTGCCTATACCCAGAGCCTGGAGGTGAGTCATAACCTTTCACATTGGATTGAAGCCGCTTTGCAATTAATCAGTCTGTTCACTACCCAGCCAGCAGAGTCCCTGGTTGAGAACAGTAACCTCTGCAGGGCATTGTTTCTTTCCCAAGGTCCAAGTGCCCTGCAGCATAGCACTACCAGTGAGAGCCAGTGGAAAAAGGGAGGGGGCGGGAAATAATGAAAAATTGTGAATGTTCTGATTTGTTTCCACATTGCAGGGTTTGAAATGAAATAGTTTTTACATAAAAACTTTGGTGAAAATTTTTTTTTTCCAAAATTTTTTGAATTTTCAATATTTTTAATTTAAATTCCTTTCACTTCTTTCCGGTTCTTTTCCTTTTAGCTACTGAGTGCAGAAAAAGGAATAATATGTGAGTGGGAAGGGGTTCTTCACTTTTTCTCCCCACCATAACTTTTAGAAACATCTCCAACTTCGAAAAAGTTACAGAGTGACCAAGTTACAGAGTTTTATTTTTCCTTTTGCCGCTCTAACTTTTCCAGAATTGAATATGTTTCAAAAAGTTAGAGTGAGGGGAAATGGAGGGAGAAAAAAACCCAAACCAAACCAAACCGGAAAAAGTGATGGGAAAAAACCCAACATACATTATTTCAGCTATTACATTCAGTGGTGAAAAGGATGGGGAAGGGGAAGAAGAAAACCCCAAAATCTGACATTTTAAATTTTTGAAAATGTTTCAGTTTTTGAAAAACCCAACCAAATAAAAATTTCAATTTGAAATCAAATGTTTTGCTTTATTTCAAAATTTCCTGTCAAAACAATTAAAGAAATAATCAAAAATTACATTATCCTATGAAAGTTTTCATTTTTGACAAAACTCCACCTTTTTGGGGGGAAAATGGTTGGGCTGAAAAATATTGACCAGCTCCGCTTCCAACCCCTGCCTGGGAACTGGGAGTGAATCCAGGCTTCCAACAACAGAACACGCCACACTAGGTGACCTGGACAGCTCTCGTCTTTAGCTTTTTGATTTGAATTGACTCCCATGTGTTTATTCCTTGTGGAATTCAGGAGCCTTTAATCTCACTTTCCATGCTGAGATTTTCATGAAGGAAAGCACAGGGTGGATATCTAATATCCATTTAGTGGGGAAAGACTAAAATATGTAAAGTCTCTCTCTCTCTCTCTCTCTCGGGGTTTTACACTGCCTCCCATCTCCACAACATCTGAGCACCTTCCACAAAAAAGAATAGCAATAGCAAATTCCACCATGGATTTCATGTAATCTCGAGTACTTCTACCTTTTCTGAGTAAAAACTGTACTTGCGGTAGAGTTTTTGTTTACATTTTTTAGATTGAGTTGTTTTCTCCTCTTTTTCTTCTTTTGTTGTTCTTGGTTGGTTGGGGGTTAGAAGTAGAAGGGCTGTCAGTGTTGTGAGTGTCAGTGTTACAGCGTAAAGGCTTTTTTTGAAGAGGAAGTACTGAAAGGGTTCGCTACAACACAGACTGTGTAACACTTAACACTGTGGTTTCCAGGTACGCACTGCATTTACATTTCAATACAAACGTACTATGCTCGTAAAACATTCCATTATTATAACAGAATTGTGTTGATTTTTTTTTTGTTTACTGCAAAGTAACATTTACACATGGATTACCTGTTTATTTGTCCCCACGAGAGAGACAAGTTGGGTGAGACAATCTCTTTTCTTGGACCAGACTTCAGGTGTGGGCCCGAGGTAGACCTGAGGAAAGCTATGGCTACACTACAGAGCTTACAGCGGCCCAGCTGCAGTACTGCTAGTGCAGATGCTCTATGCCAACAGGCTCTCACGTTGACTTAATTACTCCGGCCCCTGGGAGCAGTACTAGCTATGAGGGAGAAGCTCTCATGCTGACGTAGCACTGTCTACACCGGCACTTAGGTCAGAGTAACTTACATCACTCAGGGGGGTAGCTTATTCTCACGTAAACTGTAGTGTAGCCATAACCAAAGACCGCAGGAAGAGCTCTGTGTAGCTCAAAAACTTGTCTCTCTCACCACCAGTAGTTAGTCCAAAAAAAGGAATTACCTCACCCACCTTATCTCTCTAATATCCTGGCACTGATACAGCTACAATTACGCTGCATATACCATTTGATAAACCATTGTCATTCATTTAGTGTAAACTAGCTGCCCCGCTCTAATCTAGATTGTTTAGAACTTTGGGAATGTAACTTAAAGCTATGTTCTTTAATAAATTCTGGTAAAGTGGATGGGGGAATTTTCCCTCATTTCCCCTTTATTCCCAGCCCTCTCAAGAAGTTCCTGGTTGACTGTCTACTCCTGATTACCCCTGCTTGCCTGAGGTGAAGTAAACTGCCTCCACATCACTCCATGGGCTACATACAGGGGGAAATGGGGGAAATTCTATGTTCTGATAAACACAGGAGGTCAGACTTGATGATGTAGTGGTCCCTTCTGGCCTTAAACTCTTCGAAGCATCCAGCCTCTACTAGCCCCAGGATGCTGTGGTTTGAACTCGTAATCTGCAGAGCACTACAATTTAATAGAACTATGTTATCACTTTTAACAGACTGAGTCTAACAAAATTAGATCAGTTCAAAGTGCATTCTAGTCTGGCTACCAGGGCTAACCGAGTACTATAGGGCTTATCCTCTTTGCCCTTGAAGAAAAAGGCACATTAGCCAGCTTGTCAGTAAGTTTTTCATTTGCTTACACTGGTTGGAAAATTTCAATGACCTTTTCTTTGGCATAAAATGAGAATTTATTTTTTCCACACACACCCCTCATGCAACCAGCTCTACTACTTACTAAATGTGACCCTTAATCACATGAGACATGGGGAGAATTCATCTGATCTCCTCCTCTTAAAAGGTATTCTTGATTTCTATTCGCCTATTGCTTCCAGTGCTACAGTGCTCAAAGTACGTTACCCTTGTGCGTGGCCTGACACACCGCATCCCACCATGGCCCGGAGGAAAACGAACCAGATGTACGATGGAGAAAATGATGTCAGCAAGGAGAAATAGGCCCCCCATAAGAAAGAGATCAGCAGAATCTGGAAGGGAAAGATTAGAAAACATCCCTGTTCAGGACAGCACTTCAAGTATTGGATTGAATGTTTTGCTGACTTGGGGCATAAATAAAGCACAGATCAGCTGACCCCAAATGGAAATTCAAAGCATCAGTCTCTGAGACCTTGTCTACACTACAGGTTACTTCAGAGGCAGAAGTTATTAAGCTGATAGGAGTGTCACCACCACCAGCAGTGCAGCTGCAAGTGCTGTACAACAGATGTAGCTAGAGAGACTCTTTAAATAAATAGAGGTGGGCCAGGGTTCCTTCTTAGTTAGCGCCACCTACAGCTCAGTTGGCCCCATTCGTCTACATTGACCTCTTGAAAGACCCTGATTCAAGAGCAGGCTTTCAAAGGGCTTTAGGTCAAGCTTGAGGGGAAGTGAAAGGGACCAAGGATCCATAAACCTTTGAATGCTTCTGAACCCTTCCAACAACCAACCACAGTGCAAATGCCATACTCTCTGTCACACGTGCTCATTGTCATATAGTCTGGCTGCCCATCACGAGAGACACAAGGGCTCTGCTTTCTGAACCAATTCTAACACTGAGATGTGGAGTGCTTAGGAATAGGGTAGTATCCCTTTAAATAGTTTGCGAGCCATCTAATGGTGCCCACCATGTTTTGCGATTACATTTCAGAGGCTTACCTGTAGGAAGCCATGTTTGAAAATGTCCTAAATTCTCATCCCAGCCCTGCCATTGATTCACTGTGCAGCCCTGGACAAGTGTGTGTGTAGAGGGGGACATGAACAACAATAGCCCCCCTCACAAAGATTGATTAGGTGATGTGGTTAAAGGTGTAACAGGCTGTGTCAGTGCTAACCTTGTTATTATTATGACAGTTCTGTCATCAGGCCTGGCTCTGTTGTTAAAAGCGACTAAAATGGAATGCTCCAGAACTTTCACTTACCTTCCAGCGGCCGTATCTGTCAGCTAAGAGTCCAAAGAGTATACTGAATATCATATAGCCAAAAAACACCATCTAAGAGGGATTAAAACATTGCCTGGGTTAATCAGCAAGGGTTTTTCCACACCTTGTACCTATTATGTGACACTGCTCTTAAATGTGTGGTTGCACTTAATACACCTGAAACTGAGGGATTAATAACTGTGACTTGAGCCATGTACATGGTCAGGTTTCCCATTCACAGCTTGCCCAAGCTGTCTTAATCCAATCCAGAGCTGTAGCATCCTCTACTATTTCAATCCTGGGACTGATACTTCAGATAAACTACGACAAATCTTTAAGAGGGAGAGGATGGTCTTGTGATGAAGGCACTGAACTCAGAAGATCTGGATTCTAACCTTGACTGTGCCACATGCTTGTTGTGTGACTTTGGGCTATTCATTTATTCTTTTTGCCTCCGTTTCCACAGTTGTAAAGTGATGATAACATGTCCCTCCCTCAAAGGGCTGTTGGGAGATTAAATTCATTAACATCTGTGATGGGTTCAGATACTGCCCTGTGGAAGAGTCTATAAATAACTAAAATTAGTATATATTAGGCGACAATTTTCTGAGTACTCATATGTCCCTTTTCTCCATGGCATTTGAGCGTCTTCTGGTCTGGTCAAATGTGCATTTAAACTAAACCAAACAGGTCCTTCCCCTGGCAATGTTAACAGAGTACAAGCTTAAGGGGTTATAAATGCCACATACCGTTGTCACTAAAGCCACCTGCCAGTCATTAAGTTGCCACTCACAACGGATGAGTGGAGAAACAACAGCTATTAGCATGATCTCCATGGCTTCTACCACCTTCAAGAACAAACATGCACATTAGCAAAGTCTGGTTCCAGTGTCAGCACAGTGAACAATTCCTTTGCATACTGGGGGAAAAATCCCAGTCATGCTAGGGCTTGAAATCCTGGTAACCAAAAGTCAGGCCACCCATTTGGAACAGTACACGTACACTTTCCAGAACCAACCTGGAGTATTCTGCAGGCAGAGACGAAGGAATCATGGAACTGGCATCTCCCTCAGCCCGATATGGAGTATACCCAGTACCTCTGCAATGTACCCTCCTCCCCCATCGGTTGTATTACCTGGAATCTCAGTCCTTCAAAGAACAGTTACTGTGGTACTGGACTCAGAGAATATAACCATTTACAAGGCCTGCTGGAGGACCCAGTCTTTGTCTTGTCCAGAAAGTTGTGAACTCTTGGAAACATGGGGGGAGGGGTTCAGAGGGAAGCTTCTCAAATTATTTTTAGGAGGGCTGGAGACTCACAGGGTCCTCTCTCTCTGCCCATGTGTATTGGTGGAGGCTGCTTTGTCCTTCAGACTCTTGAAAAATCAAGCTACTTCTCTCGGTGTCTAACTATGAATTTAAGAGTTTTAACTCGAGGCACCCACGTTTGAAAATCTTGGCTGGGAAGTGCAATTGTACTATGTTGGTTTAATGCGTGTGACCATGTCGCCCACTAATGGCTGGCGACAGCAAAGATAAGAGCCTGCTGTTTACTCATAGCTAATGGAGTCACGCTTTTAGCTCAAATTATAACGCTTTGGGTGCGGTCACTCATGTCTGAGCCCAGCTGACGACTGTGGTGTTTCCGTGTTTTTCAGGATGGCTTGTTACACAAAGAAGAAAGGAAAGGGAACCAAGAGTGACAAATGCTGACCCAGGTACACCCACGCAACCCCAGTTAAGTCAATGGTGAGTGATAGGTGAGGTGAGAAGTGAGCCTAGAGTCTATGAATTCTGCTTCACATTAATATGGATACTGTAATATCACATTAATATGGATACTGTAATAGGATTTTTAGGCTCAAGTTAGTGGACATTGAAAACCTACACCAGTACTGCCCATGATCAGGAAAAGCGCTATATGAAACCGCCCAAACCCGATGGTTTCCACAGCCTCTTCCACTGTAAATGTCTTCTGCTCTAAACATCAAAGAGAAAGAGAGTGTTAGAACTGAGATCACCTCCAAGTACGTCCTTGCAAAACAGAACCACCTTTTGCTATTGTGTAATGGCAGGAAAGTTGTTGGAAACTCCATCTGTGCCCAAGATGTTATATCAACTAAGCAGCACTAGCGCCCCTAGAGGCCAGGGTGGCTGGGCACTTTAGAGATTCAACAAAATAAGAGAGAGAGAAAATAGAGAGATGATAGATAACCAGTGAGAATACAGAACATGCATGGAAGGAAGGAAGAGGTCTATCATCCAATGCTTTTCATATAGTATTCTGAGCTATTGTATGTGTTGCATAGACCAAGGAAGAATGGTTTAGGGTTAGAGAATTGTACTGGGATGCTGGAGCCCTGGGTTCATTTCCCATCTCTACCACAGATTTCTGGTGTGACCGTGGGCAAGTCACTTACTCTCTGTGGGCCTCTGTTTCCCAGCCGTAATAGTTGGGATAATACTACTTTCCCCAGCACAGTAGGCATTTCAGAATGGGAGGAAGCCAGAGCTCACTGCAGCCCAGTAATCCTTGTTATTTTAAAGGCCCCAGATGAAAGTTACAAGCTGGCTGCTCTAACCTGTGCTATAGGTCAGGTCAGCCGCTGAAGAGCTTAGTGCCAACTTTACTTTTCCATCTTCAGCATAAGCATGGCACAGCTGAGGAGTGGGCCCGAGCTTCCCTTGTATAAATTGCTTTAAAATAAGCTTAATAGAAAGTGCTAAAATCTACCTTTAAACTATATTAGGGTAAAATTCTCTTGCTTAGTTGCTATCACAGAGTAGCATCCAGAGGGCTGGCTATTTATCCCAGCAGATACTTGCTCATCACGTATGCAAGTGGTAGGGCTGTATGTGGGTGAAGTGCAGGGCGGGCTGGGGAAGCCACACCCAACCCCAACCCAGGGCCAGACTGCCCCTCCTTACTGAGAGGTGACAACCACCACCCTCAGTCCAGCTTATGTGAACCAACCTTTCTTGGGTTCTTGCCTCTCAGTGCCTATTTCCTCCAGGCCAATGGCATTTGATACTTCTTTTTGCTGGGTGGCCATCTTCAGCTCTTGTCGGGTTCCCAAAGATGACAATGGAGATGACTTTGATTTCACTTCCCAACCTACAAGATAGTCACAACCCTGTCTTAATAATGAGCCAAGAAGCAATTTCTAATGCAAGACTGGTGGAAGTGAGGGCAGTTTAAACTAAGAAGTTTCAGAGGATGCTAATAGGAAACGTTAAGGGTTCCCACCTACCTCCTCTTGGTGTGTGTTTAGCTAAAAAATTAGAAGGGCGGTCACAGGACAATTGATTAAAATTGGCAAAGGTCAGTCACCGCCCTGGCCTATACATGAAAAGTCCAATGAAGCTACTAAAACAGGCTGGATAACCCTCATATACTTTCATGGGGTATTGTGGAGGCTTTTTAATCAACATTTGTAAAGAGATTTGAGATCCTCAAGTGAAAGGTGCTACATGAGCAGAAGTCATTGTCTGCAGGGTGCCTAGCTTGCTGTGGGTTTGTGTTCACTCAAGGAAAGGAAGGCAAGGAAGGAATCAGGTAACCTAAATGGGAGCCTGTATGAACGTTGACTTTCCAACATTTTCCTTAGAGCAGTAATAGACTCTCTCTTCACGGAGAGACGGGGTGTGTTTGCACCGAAATCTAAATGCTTCATGAATCAGGTTGATTTCACCAGAATTTTGTTTTGGAAGAAAACTGGAAAAAAGTTCCAACAACGTTGAAACAACCTGTTTTCACGTTTTTGTAATGGAACATTTACATTTTTCCTTACGAAAGGACTTTTCATTTGAATTTTGTTCTATATTACATATTATGATGCATCCAAAACATTTAAAGTGTCAAAACTGACTTGAAAACAAAAAAACAAAATGTTTCAGAATTTTCCTTCATGGAGAATTTTGAAATTTTCTGGTTTTGCTCTGCTGCAGCACAAAGCCTAATTTAGAAAGCCCCAAATCCTTAGCAAAGTGAAATTTCCCTCCTCTGCGCAGTTCTGCTTCTCACTCTTAGCCGCAGGGCTGGTTCTAGGGGAGGGTGAGCAGGGCAGTTGCCTTAGGCGCCAACTTCCAGGGGGTGCTGTGCCACTGTGATGCTCAGGTGTTTTGGGTTTGGTTTTTTTCGGCTGTTTGGAAGAGGAGTGGGGATGCAACAAAAACATTTTCTGCCCTGGCTGGCAAAAGAGCCACCTCCTGCTTAGGGGAGACTCTCGTGTGACACAAATGAAAGCATAGCTCCAGATGAAGTCCCAGTAGGGGCAGGTTCCTGCACATGCACTGAGAATGTAGGAAAGAGGGTTGTGCTGTTTTGTGGGACTCCTTTGACTTGGAATTCTGCCTGCTTTTCCTGTTTCCTCAGAAACAGATCCACATTGGCTTTCACTTGAGGTACCAGCAGTGCCGGGGAAAGGACCAGACGGACAACATTAGGGATTGCCATCCTTTTTCTCTGCAGGCAATGGGGATTAGCATGGGCAGCAGCAATGCAAGCTACCTTAACACTGCCCCCTTCCAGCCACCAGCGGCACCCTCGACCTTGCACTGAAAGGACTTCTTGGGGTGAAGACAGCTGTTGAGGCTGGGATTTGCAAAGATGCCTAAGGGAGTTAGGCCTTAAATCTTCCTTGTATCTGTAAAAAGGGGACAATGCCTACCTCACAGGAATGTTGTGGGGATTACTTCCCACTGGCTAAGCTCTTTTAAAGACATAATGAGCTCTCTAATTGCTAATCATTATTATATCATGCTTTGAAATTAAGCCCGGCAGGTTGGAACACCCTGCACACATATCAAAGGGGATTGCGCATCTGTGCTATAAGCACTCTTTCTTAAGCCCTTCGTACGCTGCCTGAGAACAACACTGCCAGTGTATTCTGTGCAACCTAAACCCCCATTATATAACCAGCAAAACACTGCCCATTGTTGGTGTTGCTCCTCAATGAAAATAACATCATGAGGTTCTTTTACCCAGCTTCCTCAAACAGTTTTAACCCCCATCTCACATTCAGCTGTCTCAGGGGTAGGGAAATGGATCCAAAAGGTCTGGATTGCAACGGCGGCAGTCACAGGTCTCCTCTGCTGGCTGGGGAGTTGAAGCGTAGTGTTTTCACTAATGCTGCAGGGCTGTGAGCTCGCCTGCATTTGGGATGTGGGTCCAACTCCTAGTGAAGTCAATGGAAGGCTCTTTTTGACATTAGTGGGAGTTCGGTTGGGCCCCTGGAGGGAGACACTCAGAAATTCACTCAGTCACCCTCAAACACATTCCACTTCCAGGCGCAGGACCAATGTGCTGTTTCCCATCCCAGTAGGCCTAGCAAGGGGAGAGAGGCAATGGAGGAGAGAACTGTTGACAGAGAGGGTTGAACACTGAAGGCAAAAATAGATAGAGACCAAAAGGCCAAATCAGAAAAGAAACTAGTTTGAAGAGAATCAGACAGAGAGTTGAGATAAGAAAATGAACTGCGACATTTTAAAAAGATGTAAAATGTCAATTATATTAGTTAGAGGGAAACACAAACACTGAACAAAGATTGAATTCTGGAAACATTCAAAATTAGGTCAACACTTTACACTGGGTTAATAATTGATTAATAGATGTTTTAGATTACAGAATTTTTGTTATAGATTGTTACAGAATCCAACAGGCCAATAGGCTGCTTATTGTATAGCTTATAACATCTCCCTCTGAGGTGTTTATAACTGTCCACAACACATATTACTCATATCTGTAATATGCTTATACCGTCTATTCCCAATTCTTAACCATTTATAAGTGGAAACAATATAAATTGTGACTAAAATGGATTATCTAGAAGAGCCCTTGGAAA